TTTATTAAATTTAAAATATTATGGCACAAAATCAAACCACTAAAAGGACTACATTATGTTATCCCTTCATTTTCTTAAGAAAAATTATGAAGTTTCCCACACAGTGCAAATGAAAATGAAACACTCAAATTTACTCAGCAAAGAGAAGACAGCTTCTGTAAAATTAAATCTCTCTCTACTACCTTGACTATAATCCTAACAAATCACTACATTTTTCCAATTAGCAGAATAATTTTTCTAGGGTGAAAATAAGTACAATTTATTTGGTCATTGTTGCTAAAATTTCTTGTCAAATAAGACTCTGAGTTGAAAGGCTTGGGTAATTCTAGCCTATCTTAGACTAGAACTTTATTTTAAACTTCTGTATTTTATTCTGACAGAATTTTAAGTATATACTCTGTACATTCCTCAGGTCCAGTCATATTAAATTCTGATGTTAAGCAGAAAGGAGAAACCATATGCAACTGGATTAATTTATCTCAAGGGAAAAAAGGGCACATTAATAATTTAGATAATGTTTTCATATACATTAGAATCAAATGTGCCTTTTCACTTCTTTATTAGAAAACACATTAGGGTAAAATTATCTCACTCTCATCAATAAGACCTAATTGCTGAGAGAGTCTCTGTTTTCTTTGCAAAACAGTCAGGAAGATTTTTTCCCATTACATCCAACTAGCTAGATGTGTGTCATGTATCCAAGTTTTTTTGGAATAAATGCATATGACCAAAGCGCATAATGGTTTAATGCACCCTGTAATGTTTTTGCTTTAAACTATCTGAGTTTATTATTTTTGTAAAACACATGACAATTCTGGTTTTAAAAGAATTTGGCCAAGAAATGACTAATAATTTGGCTTTTAGATAGCTTATCTCTTTAAATTACTGCCCCCCCCCCAAATTCTTTGGCTAATGGCTAAAAATAAAGGAAAATTCTTAGACTTTAAAAAAACACCCAAAAGTGTCAAAACACATTGAAGGCAGTAAAATGAAACTTTATTTTCTCTAAATTACTGTATCGTGAAGAGAAAGAATTATACACAAAGAATATATTAACTAAACAATGATAGCACTCTCACAAGTCAACCAACCAAGTTCCTCATGGTTGATGTATGTTGAATATGAAAAAGATGTTTTTCTACAGAGAAAATACAACTTTCAATGAGTAATCAAAAGGAGTAGCTAAGGTGAATCTGATTGTTTCTGCAATAAGTTTTCATGTGTATAATAAAGTACTAAAAACAATGAACTGTAGACTGAAACAAAAATCCATCATCTGCTTGGAAACAGTGACAGCAGAAGATTAGCAATCCATTTATTGTACAGAAATAAAGATAAGTAATGCAAGTAAGATCCATCAGGACTAAGGATTAAACTCTAACTATATAGACATTTCTTTAGCAAATAACTTGAAAAATATATGATTAAGAGAAACAATTACAGTTATGTCTTTTAAAATGATATAGTCATGATTGAATTGCTTTTACTTTTGTACAAATCTGCTTTACTTCAACCCTATATTGTAGAGGATATCTAAAAGAGTGTATAATTATTACATAGCTGTTAATCAATTATTGCCAAAAGTTTCTTATGGATCTAAAGTCTATTTCAATTACTAATTTCTCCTAATAGAAATAATAATGATAAAAAAAATTTTCACTGTAGAATTTACATCTAAAGGAAAGACAAAAATTTAATGAACAAATCCATTTAGAATTTTCTGTTATAAATTTAACTTAATTCAAATAGTTATGTTTTATAAAAGTTACAAATCATGAGTTTTAAAAAGTAAAAATAAATTCATACTTCAACTCTTAAGAATACTAATAAATATTAGTATAAATACTAACAAAAATCTGAAACCTATTAAAGTGAGTGTTTCATCTTACAAATGGGCATCAGCATTAAGTTACCTAGCCATAGTCACACTGTACATGATGTTTCAGGAGAATGATACCCTTTGTATGTCTAAAGCTTTAATACTCCCTCACTCTCCCAAAAGTATTTTATTCTATTTGTTACAGATGAGAAAAATAAATAGATCATGTGTGTTCTGAATCTGGAAGTAGAGACCTGTCAATTATTCAAGCATACACCGAGACACCCAGAAAAACTTTTTATAACACAGAAGCAACTCTAGGAACTCCATATACACTCAACCCACCTATCCCAAACAGCAGGTGAAACTCATATCTACCCGAATAAGTGTCAACAACAACACACACACACAAACTTGTTGAATTCCCCAGATTCTGTTACAGACTTTTAACTTCATCAAGCACAAGCAAAGGTACAAAAGAAAAGCTTCACAGTTCCCAATGTTAATATATATTTATATATTATGTATAGTGGCTTTTTGCCAACAGCCCAATCATTCAAAGCCTTCTAGATAAAATAAATAAATTAATTAAAATACCCACAAAGCCAGGGAACTATGGGCTTTTTCATGTTTATGGCTTTGTCTTCTGGTACTCTGAAAATAGATGGGCACCAAATGGAGGTGTTGGAGAGAACTAAAATAGTGTTCAGTTTTAACATTTTCATATAGAACAAATATGTGCCACTAAACAATTCACTATTTCCTCAGAAAAGCACTGGCAAACCTTTAACTGGACAGTAACAGAGTTCCTAGTGATGCCACTGGAACATGAAAAGTGTCTGGAAGTGTTTTATAAACTTTAAACCACAATGGAGGTTACAAACTAATTAGTCAAGAAAGAAAACCAACTAGGAAATGTTGCAAAACCAGATGCTTTGATAATTTCCTCTTTGTCAGTTTTTCCTATCCAAAAGTTCTATATAAATTCTATTTCTGTCTAACAAGCCAATTTTCTACTTCCCTGTTTTCCTTAAAAAAAATTTTTTTAAATCATCATTTAGTAATATAAATGTGCCCGTCTCTTATTCCCCCTCAATCAGGAATCCTATCTTGGGTGATGAAAAATACGTAGTTGTTTGAGAGTGAAATGGGTGGAGCTTGAGAGCCTGAGCATGGTGCCCCACCAGATAAATGTGTTGTCTGCCATATTGATACCTTGGGCTGCTGGACTGTGGGCTCAAACACTCAGCTCCTCTCCCATCAAAGTCATCTTTGCAGACACAGACTTTACCACCAAATTCTCAATAGTGTTGTGAGATCTCTGGGGACCAGCTCTGTTTTTTTTTACACGACCATAGACTCAGGGCTCTGGTATCGTAAGGCATTAGGGTGCTAACCAAAAGGTCAGGGATTCAAACCCACAAGCTGCTCCTTGGGAGAAAGATGAGCCATTCTGCTTCTGTAAAGATTTACAGCCTTGGAAACACTATGAAGCAGTTGTACTCTGTCTTACAGGATCGCTATTAGTCTAAATCAATGCAACTCAATGGCAGTAGGTTTGGTTCGGGTTTTCGAACATAGTGCTGTCCTGAGCGGGTGCTTAGCAACAATATGAGTGGTTATTGAGTCTCACAGGTTTTATCTGGTGAAGATGAAGCAGCTCAGTTAAAAAAAAAAAAAAAAAAGATCACCTTGACAGGGTTCTCAGACAAGCTGCTACAGAAATTACTCATTAATGGAGTCTTGGTCTTGAGGTCCATACCAACTTGGTCCCTGGCATTTAAAAATCTTTTTTTTTTTTTTTTTTCCTAGCTACTCCCACTCCACTGTATTTCCGGGGCACAGTTAGTAAAATTATATATTGCTGAAGGGTATGACTTTTAGAAAGAGGACTTGTGGTACCAACAGTGAAGTGCTCAGATGCTAACTATAAGGTTGGTGGTGCAAACTCACAGGGTAACTCTGTGGGAGATGGGACTGGTGATCTGCTTCGGTAAAGATTACAGCCAAGAAAATCCTGTGGGACAGTTCTACTCTGTCACATAGGGTCACTGAGTCGGAATTAACTCAACGGCACCCAACCACAACAATGTGATTTCTGCTGTTGTTGTTAGCCATCAAGTCGGACCAACTCTTAGTGACCCCTCCTTGGGTTTCCCAGGCAGTATCACTACGGAAGTAGATTGCCCCATCTTCCTTCTGAGGAATGGCTGGTTGGTTTGAACTGCCAGCCTTCTGGTTAGCAGTCTAATACCTTAGGCATTATGCTACCAGAGCTCCTTATGTGATTTCTAGCATCTTATATTTCATAATTCTCCATGTGTGAAGGAATTTGACAAAAATGGCAAGAGTCTCTCCATTCAAGAGTGGACCTCAATAATCAACTAAGAAGGTTTATGAGAAAGCTTAGGTTAACATTTTTCAATTAGGCTGTTTACTTTTAAATAATATCAAACATTATTAAATAGTATCAGATAAGATTGTGCCATTGAAGTATTATCATCAATTGGGTTATACCAAAGTGCTCAGTTTTATTCTGATTTTCTGTCTTGTTGAAGACTGTATAACTTTTAAGAGAAGAAACAGAATTTGTGATTTTTGATTCACAATATAATTTCCTTACTTCTATACTTTGAAAGTTGTGAAACATGTTGCATGTAGTCTCTCACACGTCAGTGTTTACAAAACTGTTTTCATCTGAGAAAATGAGCTGATTTCTTCTTCCTCCTGTCTTGTCAATGTCCCTCCCTGTCCAACTTAAGGGACCAAAATGGATAAGCTCAGAACAGGACATAAAGGTCACCCAGCTCATACCTCAGTGCCCAATCTCCTCTGTTCCATCTCTTCATTCGATTTCTCATGTTCTCAAGATCCAGGAAGACAGAAGGGTCAAACTCACCCAGATGAAATAAAGATAGGTTAAGGTCATTCCATCTTCAGAAACCTGTGTTTCTGGACGGGTGTTTCTGGCTGCCCTGCTGTTGCGCCAAACCCCGGCTCTGCTGAGCCTTATTGCAGGTACTGCAGGCACCAGGAATTTGAAAGACCAGCAACATCTATTCTCCACCACTTTCTGGGGACCAAAAGCCTATCCTCAAAATTGTGACTCATCAAGAGCCAAGGCTCTATACTAACCAAAGTTTGCTGGGGTTAATGAAGTGCTGTGCGGCGGGCGACTTACCTCCCAGAGATGCTGCGTGTTCCTCACCGCGCCCGCCTGCACCTTCTCCGGGGGCAGGAGCACGCCCTGGAAGGGCCCGATCCATGTGCCCTGCTGGATCCTCTGCGCCGCGCAGATGCCATAGGCAAGACCGGGCACGGTGCTAGTGCACAGGCACACCTCCCGCGGCAGGTCCCGCAGCCACTCAGGCAGCTCCGGCGGGGGCGCTGCAGCCGCGGCGCTGCTAGTGCCCACGAGCCGGCGCAGCGAGTGCAGCGGCCCGTGCATGGGGCACTCGCCGTTGCGGTTGTCCGCGCACATGTCGCAGCCTGCGGGGGACACGCGGGAGGGAGGGAAGGGAGAGAGTTAACCCCGCTTGGGGTGACCCACCCTCGTTTAAGCCCCTCTAGAAAACGGAATCCCGCCCGGGTGAGTCACCTTGGAGAAAGGTGGAGCCCTGGGGGCTCTGAAGCCACAAGGGGGAAGGGGCCCGAACCAAGGGGCCCCCTCTCTGAATTCGCCCACCCAAATCGTCCGGGAATGAGGTCGAGATCCCGGAAGCCCCAAAAAGCCTTGGGAGCTGGACGAACATGGCCTTGTTACCCTCACCGCAGAACCGACGGTTCGCTACTGCTGGCTTCCCGCCGCAGTCTTTCTGCACCTCTCTGTCCTGTCTTTCTCTCCCTTCTGACGTTCTCGCCCCTTCCTAAGGTTTCTCTGACAGGTGTTTGAGGGTGTGTTTATCATAGGACCGAGCGTTCTGGCTTTTGCCTAATCTGGTATCTCAGGAAGATTTTGAGGTGGTCACCTGGGTATTCGGTTTTCCTCTTTATACATTTTTGGAGAGTAGAAATTTTAAAGTTACTTGGGCAGATACACGACCCTTCTGACGTGAGGCACCATTCTCATTCCCCTCCACCCAGAGACACGACGGCTTGTTCCACCGCTTCCTGGGCGCCCACAGGAGAGGGTGGAACGGACTTGGAGCCCCCAGGAGGGCGCATCCCCGCCAAGCGCCAGCCTCCCCCAGCGGAGAGCCCGCCCATGCTGGGGTCCCTCAGGCGCCGGGTAAGCTCCCACTCTGGGCTCTCAGGTCTGACCTAGAAGAAACCTGCTGTTCTGGAGAAGTTGACGTGCCAGTTTAAGCCCTTTCCAGAAGCCAAAAGGAAAAGCAAATTTAACTATCAGGATAATGGGTCTTTAATTATCAGTGCGATTGTTCAATTGAGAGGGCCTCAACTCCTGCCTCGACGGTTGATACTGAGGCTAAAGGTTATATCTTGGACTGTAAATTGAATGCAAGCTGTTGCTGAAGCCACTTCTTTCTGACGCTTCCTAGACAGCTGGCGCGTGAGGGGACCCCCAGGTCTCTGGCCCGGACGGCCGTGGACACCTACTGTCCGTCGACTCGAGATGGGTGGAAAGAGGCCGGTCGGCCTCAGGAAGCAGGGCCTGCGGGCGACCGCGCTGTCCGACCGTAGCGCCCTCCGGGTTATTAATGGATCTGGCGGAGCCGCGGTGTCTGCGCCCTGGCCGGCGGGGCCTGCCCCGGGGAGACGGCGTCGGCGCCCGCCGCTGCGACCTGGCCTCCCTGGCCCAGCCTTCCTGTGGAGCCGCGGCGCCCTTGGCGTACGGTGGCGCTGTAGACGACTCCCGACTTCTGGCAAGCCATGACTGGCAGAACGGGTGAGAACCCGGCACCAAAGAGTACGCCCGGGCAGGGCTGCCAGCGGGGCCTCTGAGCACCTGCGCCAGGCCTCCGTCGTAGCCAGGCCTGGTGGATTGCTCGAGGTGTTCCCTATCCGTGCTGAAGCGGCCAACATACCCAAGGGACTTGTGACAAAATGTCAGTGAGTTACTTTTGACAAAGGAACACTGACTCATACTTAGTGTGGCGAACAAACCCTCGTTTCGTCATTTGCTTCACAGGGAGCGAGAGGTGGCTATATGAGCACCTACTCTGAGTCCAGGAGGGCTTCTGATAGGGGCCAGCTGTGTCTTCCCCTCCTTCAGGTACTCCTCCACCTTTCCCCAGATAACACCAGGGGATGACAGCATCTCCCTTTGACAGCAGCTTCTTGGAGGTGTCCTCAGGCTTTCAGGTGAAAAGGAACAATTTGTTTCTGTAGGTCAGTAAGTATCCACACCTCAGGGGCTCCCTCACACTGAAGCCTTTCTGCTAGCAACACAAACTAGGTGGTTGTTGTTGTTATATGCGCTCCAGTCAGACCTGACTTTACATATATATATAAAGTGTTCCAGGTTCTGTTTTTAACCCCAGGGCCTAGTTGGGAGTATTCCCACCCTTATCCATTTGTCAACCTCCTCCCTCTCAAGCTTTTGATTGTGAAGGGGGGAAAAAAAACCCAAAACTCCAGACATTGGGAGGAATAGAAAGAGAGAGAATAAAAACTAACAATTATCAAATGCCTACTATGTGCCAGGCACCTTTCTTGATCCACACAACTACCATAGTATCTAGTTATTGTGATTTCCATTTTGCAGATGAAGCAATTGAGGTTTCAGGAATACTGTTACTTGACAAAAGACCAGAAGCTAGAAAATGGCTGAGAAAGGATTCACAATAAAGTCCGCCTGACCCCCAAACCTCCAAACCCAGAGATCTAGGAAGACTGATGAAAGCTCAGAGTTTTATATCTAAACTCATGACTCAATCAACTGAACTGAAATATTTCACTGAAGTAACTATTTCTGGAGCCATAAAAAAAATGTTGTAGCATGACTGAGTTACAGAGATTCTATTCCCCCAGTCCCCCAACACACACACACACACACACACACACACACACACACACACACACACTTGGGTTTGGGGAGGTTAAAGTAAGAGAATGAATGAGAAAATAAGTAGTTAATGTTCATAATTCTGAATTTTAGTACCTAAAATCAAAGGTGGCCTTTCAGCACCTTAGCAAAAATAGCTAAAAACAAATGGCAATAAGCAAAGGCAATATGCCATGAAAATAAAAATAAATTACCCCAGGGAGTTGCTTAACTGACTTTCCCTTTCTGGTTCACTCAAAGAAGCAAAGGATGAGATGCAAGAGCACTTAATATTCACTCCCCCAACAGTCTGCACCAGAGATGTCAACTCCCAACACCTCCACAACATGTAACATCACACCAACTACATCAGTAATGAAAAAAAAAAAAAAAAAGGAGCAAAAGTACCACTTTCAGCCACTACCCCTACAGTAAGATTCATAGTTCCAAGATTAGTACTGTGTACTAATAAAACCATGGCTGAGTCCTTTCTCTAAGAAGTCCCCTGAAACCCTCCTCAACTTACTAAGTTTTTTTTTTTGTTGTTGTTGTTGTTTCCACTAATTGTTGGAAAACGTCATAGCAGTATTTTGCAGAGTGGAAAATTGAAGTTCCCCTTATACCTAGAAGTCTGTTAGGTCCACAACAAAAGAGCCAAGGCCAGTCAACTTTAATTAGTCCACCCAACATGAGTCTTCTCAGTTTGTAAACCACTTCATGCTATATCAAAATGTTCTGCCAGAAAGGTTGACCAATTGCCATTAAAGTGCCCCTTATACTCTAATGCAATTGTTTTGTAATACACAAACTGAAAGCATTTGGCTTTTGACTAATGCCTGAGTCCCAGAGGAGCTTGAGAATATTTAAAACAAGGAATTTATTACTTGAGATTTACAAATATAAAACAAGTTGGACAAACATTGTAACAGTGTTCTCTAGCCAGCCAGTCATAAACACCTTCATGAAAAGGTTTGAGGGAGAAGTGGGCTAGATGCCCAAACTAGACAAATAGATTATATATTTAAAGTTTATGTATCCACAGCATGCTAGTCCAAGCAATATACAATACAAGTCTATTTGTATTCATAAAGAGAAAGCAAATCAATGTTCCTACTTTCTCTTAAAGTCAGATAGTTTCTATACAAGTTCATAATTTTCACAAAGAGTTTTCTAGATCTGTGAGGAATATTTTCATATTTTCCAAGTAAGGTATTTGAAATGCTATTTTAGCATTAGTGAATATATGAGATCAGTGTTTTCTATTTTAAATAGATCTGGTAAGGCTGCTAAGTGTCTCTGGATAAGGGAAGGGAGTATATTAACACCTGTTCACCTACTGACTTCAGACGACCAGGCCAAGTGGAGTGAGGCGTTGACTTTCACGCTGCATTTTGTATCCTTCTGTAGTACTGTTTGAATATTTTACAAGTGCATGTAGTACTTTTGTAATTTGAAATGGATATGTTTTATGTTAAAGGAGACAAAGTAGGAATTCCTATGTGGAATTTCATTTCTCTTTTTAGCAAAGGAGAAATATAAAATGTTGTAGGGCTTTGTGTGTCTGGCGAGGCTGATAAGCTCTTGTGGACTCAGGTGGAGCCCCGACTGGCGGGGAGCGTCCGCCGTGCTGGGCCTATGCCTGCCCTCACGCGCTCTCCCGCTAGAGAACCAGGGAGCAGTTGAAAAGCTTGCCTCTTGTCCTGAGCTGCCGTACCGGCTCGGGCTGTAAATTCTTCCCGACCGCCGCCTCCGTCCGGGCCCAAAGTCCCACTGGCAGAGACCCGCGAGGCAGGAGCTCATCGATCCCCGCCCCGCGGCCCCAGGAGTGCAGCCTGCTGGCAGCCCTCCCGCGCCGCGCCGCGTGCGCCCTGGGCGCGGGCGCGGGCCGCGAGGTCGCGGGGGGTGGGGGCGGGCGGGGACAGGGGTCAGCTGAGCGTGGAGTCCGGAAACCTGCTCTAAGGTTCACACCCCCGAGGCTCCAACCCGCGCTTTTCGCTAGTCTGCTCTAGCCTTAGGTTGGATGGGATAAGGGGAATGCCCTGTGTGGAACGCTCAGGCCCTGGCCGGCAGGAGGCCTCCGCACCAAAGGCTGCCCTTTGAAGGCCTCGCCCGCTTCCTGACAGCGAATGGGTTTCTTCCAAGATCAGGCTTGGCCGTCGCCACCCACACTCTGAAGTCCCCGCCGCGCTCCACAGTTCTCACTACTCTTCCACTGGGGTCTTCCAGACTCCCGGAACGGGTCAAAAAGCAGATCCAGAGGCTAGGTCGGTTAGTTTCGCCTTCAGGAAGCGGAGCTGTTGTGGTCGCTCCACGCGGGGCGGCACAGCTTGGGAGAACTTTCTTGGGGACTCTGAGAGTTTAAAGTTTGAGCCAATCGCAGATGCGCTGGGCTTTCCCCGCCCGGCGTGTCTGCGGGTTTGACCCTGGGACCAAGGCGAGACAAAAGGAAAGAGGAGGGAGGGAAGAAGTGTGGATTTTATTTGTCTCCAGATGACTGTATTAATAAATTAAATGGGAACTCCAGTGTGTGAGGGTGAGAGAATACTTCATGGAGATAAACCTCGCCGGCCCCTGCCCCTGCGAGGCCGCCATATACAACGCAGAGATGATGAATAGGAGCCGCGAGAGGAGATCGAAGCAGGTCTGGGCTGGCTCCACTCTCTCCTACAAAACTATAGGGCAATTAATTGTGGCTTGTCCCCTCATCCTTCATCTCCTGGTGGCACATATCGATGGAGATTACTGCTGATGGACCATTTTATCACCTTAAATAAACAGTCGCCACCTCTTCTAACCTCAATCTAATATATGACTCTATGTTCAGTTTCAGGCCGCTAGATAACGAATGATGTAAAATAGCTAAATCATGTGTGTTACGGGATAGGGCTGAGCTTGCACGTATAAAAGAGAGAAAAAAGAAAAAGAAAAATAGAACAGCACAAAAACCCACACACCAATGCCTAGCCTCCCTCCCACCAGGGACGAGGTCTGAAATTTAAGTCGCTCCCAAGCCATGGACTGCGGGGCTTCTGGGTGGGAGGGGCGCAGCTGGTGTGCTTTAGTGGCCGAAAAAGTGCTACTACGCCCCTGAGCTCCGGGGTCCCGAATAAATCCACGATTTCAATTGGGTGGAAAGAAATTGTGGGAAGGGAAAATAATTAATCTTCGTTTTTTCTTTCCGACCCCAGCTACACTCTCCCTAACTGGACGAACACGGTTGGATCCAAATATCCTTCTCTCCCCAGCCCCTCTCCTTAAACCAATGCTACCAGAGCTAGAGTCTCCAGACCCACTTGTGTACCCGCTCCGACACCAGTACTTTTCCAGGTGCTGTTCCCTGCGTTGCAGGGATCCCCTAAATAGAGAGATGACAGTCTTTCACTTGGAGAAGCTGCAGGGTGGCCCGACTCTCCGCAGAATGACCCTGGCAGTCTTAGCTATCATCTCCTTTCCAAGTACGAGAGAGGTACACCGTCACCAAAAAAAAGGTAAGAAAAGCTAATTGGATCGGCTAGGAGACCACCTGGGATCAAACGCCCGCGCACCCGGGGCGGACTCTCACTACCTTCCAAAAGTAGTGACAGTCTCAGAAAACGCTTTAGCTCACAGAACCCAAGGTCAGACCACTGCCACAAAGCCTGACTGAATCAGTGCCTTCACGGAACCCAGCAGCAATTGAGGGCAGTAATACAAAAAGGACACTCCCTCATTGATATTAAACAATACACCACTAGACTTAAAGAGAAGAAAGAAGAGACACTTGAATATTCACAGCCTAAAATGTACTTCATTCACTGATATGCGTTAGATAACAGAAATATATTGGGAGAGCTCACTCAAACTAAGCTGTACAGTTTCTGCTGTTGGTAAATCTTTCTGTGTGAAAGTGAGCTATGAGCCCCTTCATTATTGCATTTGCCATAGATGCCAACAAACTTTCAAGGTGATAAGATTGTGAGTTCCTTTTTTCACAGAGCAATGATACCATGAATTGCTAAAGCCAACAGTTATTGTCCCACAGAAGAGAAAGTAAATAAGGAGGCCTCTTAACAAAACAAAGTGATTCAATACCCTTTTTAAATACAAAGTGACCAAATGAAGCAACATTTTGAGTGGTCTGTATCATAGAATTCTTTTAGAAAGGTATGGCAAAAGACTAAAAGAAAAACTAGGAAAATCGATGGGTAATAAATTAATAGATGCCTCTTCCCCCTCCCCCCATCCTCTCCCACACCCAACACCAGAATGAGGAAAAGCTTCTGTTTCTCATGGTCTTTCAAGTAATAAACATACCAGCGTCCCCTGCAAAGGGAGAAAAAAAAGTTTCTCAACTTCTGCATTTCTGACACTTCCTTAGATTAAACTCAATCACTTTTCAATTCATCTTTGTAAAACACATGCTATGATTTCAAATGTGTGCCTACATTAGCCCAAAACAATTCCTGAAACAAGAAGAGATCTCATCTCCCAGCATTACACAGGGCTACCTCAGCTTTCCTTTTTCTTTCTCAATTGCCATTTAATTAGTAAGTAACATGAGGTGTAACTCTAATTGAACAATGCCATTTCTCTTCCCTTCTCTTTTGCTCCTGCACTTTTCACATTGAAGCAGTCGACTCAAAATGAGATTAACACAGTAGGAATAGTTTAAATAAAACCATAATTCATTTCCTCCAGCCAGAGAAAAAAGTGAGGCTATAAACTGGTTCAATAGCTATATATTAATTAGGAATTTATCCCAATTCCTTCTTTGATTAATCTAAGTTTTCTCTTAGTGAAGATGCATTAAATCTCAAGACTGCATTGCAAAAATATAGGGAGCTCAGCACACAACTGAGCTTTGGGGGTGCACCACTGGTATCTTTTCCACTACTGGTTTAATTTAGAAGATAAACTGCAAGCTGGATGGAACTCTCCTAGACTGCACTGACTGTATTTCACTTGGTGATTAGAAATGCCTCTTTCAAAGCATGTTTTCTTTGTATTTCACATTTTTAAAGACGCTGCATGCAAGAAATTCCATAGGAGATAAGCATTTTTTTTTCCAGGTCCACCAAGATAATGTAATTTTATAAGATTTACTGAAACTCTGAACTACAAGTCCTAACTACAGAGCAAACTAGCATTGAAAATTCCATTTTAAACCAGTACTTTACCCTCAGACTATAGAAAGGAAAACGTAAATACTATCTTTTTGTTGGTAATAATTATCCCCATCACAATATGTATAGCCAACAATCATAAAGCGATTAATACACTCCATTCACTAGTCTGATGAAAAGATTTCCGATGAAATATCTTTTCATCAAAGAAACCTGGGAAATCCTTTAATTAGTTATAACTCGAAGTTATTTTGCTTTTACAACGAATTAAGTAGTTTATGGAGGAGGGGTGCTGAACGTTCTGGAAAAAGCGACTTCTTTAAAATAGAGTAATAAATATCTACATTAACTTTCCCTATACACTCATACAGAAGCTAGATGAAGGAATGAGATGGAGAAAATTGCTGAATGAATGTTGCTCTTTGGAGCCTTGTATTGTTTTCAACCTGACGTTCTTGATCTGCTTTAATGTTATCTCCAGAGGTCTCTAGAAGTACTTCTAATCCTCCAAAATGTTAAGTGTACACATGTAACTTCTGAAATTACCAAAAAAGAAGTAGATAAGCAATGTGCATTCTTGGTTTTCATTTAGTTTTGCTTTAAACCTCAAAACGCAACTATACTTGTGATAAGCGTGTGAAATTAATATAGGAATTAAAACTGGACGATCCTATCGTTTAATTTGGCATTTGCCATTTACTTGAGGGAAAGGGGGACTAACCTTCTTTTACTAAATTACTATGTCATCCTAATTTTAAAAAAATAAATAAGTAAGCCAACAAGAGTGATCATGGTTTGGGAACGTTTGCACAGCCAAGGGTGTGCGGAGTCGAACGCAGGATCGGAAGAGAACAGCTCTGTTCTGAAGTCGGCAGTTTTCTATCACTAAGCAGCAGATACTTTCTTTTGCTCTTTTTCTAGATAAATAGTAGACCTAAGAATAATTCCTGACCGCAGTAAGAGACTGACCCAATGTCATCCTGAGAGTTCCCGCAGCCCGAAGACTCTGGCCGGTCTCTAGTCAACCCCAAGGCCCGAAAAAGAGCCTATGCAATTGCAGAGGTTATGAGGAGAGAAGTAGAAACAAATCCTAGCATTCACGCTTCCCAGAAACGATGCGAGTCCCTCCTTCGTTCCCCTTAGGCCCTCTGATCCTATCCCGAGCTCTCCTTGCAGCGTTCTGCCAGGACCCTCCCTGGGCACTGTCCAGAGAGAGGGTGGCGTTCTCTACGCCTCCGTCCGCAGGCAACTCTAGTCTCAAACACTTAAGGCTGCAAAGAAGAGGATGAAGGGGAGAGGGAAGGTAATCCCGAGGTACCACAGGCCACCCCATCCATTCTCCTTTCTTCTCTAACGCCAGAAAACTTTCGCCGCGGCGGGCTGGGAGGTCCGGGCCCGGGGCCTGCAACAGCCCGTTCTCCCTAGTCACCCCGACCCGCCCCCCTGACCAGCGCCCTCCCGCGCCGGCGCCCCGGAAACGAGTGCGCCGGCTGAGGCTACGTACGGTTGTTGGGGTCGCTGGTGTGCTGATTGAGCGGGATGATCTCCATGCGCTGCTGGCCATACAGGTAATAGTCCAGCTCCTCCGCGCTGCAGCGGAAGCGCGGGGCGCCGGGACCGTCTCCTCCGCCGCCGCATTTCGCGGGCCCTGGGCCCGAAGCGGCGCCGAGGCACAGGTCCTTGTGGGGCAGTGGTTCCGCAGAAACAGCGGCGGCAGCCAGAGGCGCGAACACTGGCAGCTGCGCCACAGGCAAGGCCGAGAGACCGGCCAGCGCGGCAGCGGCGGCGGCGCAAGAGGAGGCCGAGGTGGAGGACGAGGCCGGGGTAGAGGAGGCGGAGGAGAGAGAAGAAGGCCGGGGGCGCAGGCTGTCCGGCGGGGGTTCGGCGCGCTCTGCGGGCGGTGGCGGCGGCTGGAGGGGCTGCGGCGCGCCCAAAGGGCCCACGACGCTGGCACCCTTGAGCGGGCCGCCACCGCCGCTGTGCGGGAAGAATTGTTGCCAGTGCTGTAGGTAGGCTGGATCCACTTTGAGGAAGGCCGAGCCGCCAGGGTCTCCGGGCTTCAGCATGTCCAACGCCTCAAGCTGGGGGCAGAGGGCACGGAGGAGGGAGCGCGTGAGCCGAGACCGGGAGACCGCCCGCGAAGGCGGTCGCGGGGACCCTGGGGCCGGCTCCCGAACCCCTTGACTCAGCCAGCGGCAGTCCGGCTCCACTACTCCCTCCTCCAACTCCGCTGGGCGCAAAGTTTTCTCCAAAGCCACGGCGCCGCGCAAGGGAGCAGCATGCAAGACGCCCTGCCTCGGAGTCCGCCGCGCCCAGCTCCCACCCTGCAGGGCTGGAGCCCGACGAGAGGACGTCTCCCCGCAGGACTCTGCTAACAGGACCCAGCCCCGCCCGCAATCAGAGCCAGAGCCGACCCCAGCCGGAGTGGCGCAGCGCCCGAGCCACATCTGCCTCCGGCGCCAGGAGGCGGGACGGTCTCGCCCCCAGCCTCCAGCCTGGGACTTTCAGCCTCCCTACCCGCGGGACTTGAGTTACCGTCCCAGCCCGGATAAACCTCGCTTTACCTGAAAACTCAGAGTCGCCGGCGGATGCTTGCGTGTTGTATCTCAATGGGTGTATGGGAAAGTGTGCGTCTCTGATGCGCTACATGCCCTAGGCAGCGCGGGAGGTGAGCCCTAGAGTTCGTGCAGCCCAGGACCCTGCCGGGCCGAGAGCAAAGGATGCAGAGACTCTCGGAGAACGCAAGGAAAGCTGGGCTGAGGGCGCGGGAGCGCGGGAGTATCCAGCGCCGGACCGAGCAGCCGTGGGTTGTTGCGCTTGGCAGCCGCGGAGTCCAGGCTCCTTGACTCCACACTCTGGCAGCGTCCCGGCTGGACACGTGGGTTTTACGACAGCACAAAATACAAGTGTGTGTGTGTGTGTGTGTGTGTGTGTGCGCGCGCGCGCGTGTGTGTAGAAAGAGAGAAGGAGGGAGAGAGAAAGAGAGAGAGAGAGAGAGACATGGGGGAGGGAGGTAGGAAGGCAAGCAAGCAGACGAAGGGGAGGGGAGGGGGAAAAAAGGAAGTTCTAAGTCGGTGGGATCCACACTCAGCCGGCGCGCCTCTACAGTCCAAATACCTCCTCCATCCCTCTAACCCCCATTTTTTTTGGCGTGAAGTCTCCTGCTCTCCTGTTGCCTCTTGTTGTCCAGGATTTGTCTTTTCTAGGTGCCTGCTCAGTGCCCTAATCCTGAAAGCAGAGGAAACACGGAAACGGGAATCCATCTCTGCACGAACTAGGACGTCCGCACCAGAGCAGGCGAGTGCGACCCGGCCAGCTGACCGAGTCCCGGGACTGGGCTTGCACTTTCGCCCCACTTAGTTTTTCCTGGAGTGCTGCTGGGTGCCAGAGTCTACTCGCCGGCCACGCAACCTCCTACATAAATCCTCAGGGGAGAAAAATCGGGGGCGGGGCGGGTTGCTCACTGGAGTGAAACCTTCAGTAGGCGGCCGAAGAGGCTGTATTTCCCGAGCTGGGAGGAGTGGGACCGAGGGTCTTCAAAGGGTGGCTGGTCCCGGTGGGACTGAAGCCTGACCGCCGGTCCGGGAGGCAGCTGTAATGTAATAGCGCTTAGCCACCTCCTTTCTAGTTGTGTTCCTTGGGACTTGCTCGTTCTCCTTGTTGGCACCCCGAGGCAAGTATCTAGAGCCACGTCTGGTGGCAGAACTGCTTCCGCAGCTGGGCAAGACTGCCTTCGACCACCGGGACTGAGTCATGCGCAGGTGTTTCGTTCCAAAACCTCATGTCCGAGATGCGTCAACTAAACCCGCCCCAGCCCACTCTGGGGACTTGGGCCACCTTTTGGTGCGTGGCCTGACATTTACAAATTAGGCTCCCCTCTACAGCTGGGCCTGGTATTCGAGGGTACCGGTCAGGTAGGGTGTACGAAATTGAACCGTGGCTCAGGCTCTCTCCCGTTACCAGAGCTCCGAAGAGAAGAAATGGCATTTGTCTTTTCCCAAACAACTCGGCTTCTTTGGCACACGTCACTCTGAATAATTAATAGCCATTCTTTTCTGATTTCACCTTGTTTCTTTTTGTCTCCCACCACTCATTTTGTCTGAGCATGGGAAATGTGCTGTTTAGATTTTGTCCCAGTCTCACGCAGGATGCCTCAACGTTGCTTGGAACAGAGTTGGACTGAAAATGTTTTGACTGGCATCGTTGTGACAAGGTCATCTGTCATCCCTAGATAGCTTGATAGCACCAAAGTTTAAGGCAAACATCGCGAGGGAAAACCCACAGTACTGTGGACCCCAAGGCTAGGCAAGAGGTCTCCTCGGCGTTGAGCAACTCTACCAGGAGGGGAGAAAGAAGTTTCAGGCTCCTTTCAATTACTGGGCTCACTTCCTGAGTGTCAGGCCAAGGGAGGAGGGCCAAACCCTTTCTGACACTCTCCTGGCCCAGTGCTGAGAAATAAGACTTCTCCATTCGCTGGGACTAACTAGGAGTGGCCTGGGGGGAAGCCCATTGCTGTGGAAGCGGCCTCACAGCCCACCTCCACGTTTCCTCCCAATCCTGCTCCTTCCATTCGCTGGTTTCCCTAGGACAGGACATCCCAAAACACCCCCTCAAACACACACACACTTGACAATCTCCAGGGCTTTGAGTCTCTGGTTACAGCAACTGCTTGTAAGGCCTCATGCCTCCCATAATAGTGGAAATTCTCATCTTAATAAGATTAGCTAAATGACTCAGTGAGCGCTTGAGACATGCTAGGAGTGGGTAAGCACTTCTTGTGCTTTAGTGCACCTAGCAACGGTGTGCAGCAAGGCATTATCATTAACATCCATATTACAGATGGAAACACTGAGGCTCAGGAAGGTTAAGTAGGTTGCTGGAGGTCACGCTATGAATGAGTGATGGAGGCCTAGTCAAACTCAAGTCAGTGAGGTACCTAGCCAAACCTCTACCAATCCCATTAGGACTAACTTTTTGTAGCGTGTGGGAAAGAGGGACGACCTGGAAGACAGTTGGTTGATGTGGGGCCAAGTAAAAGCAGAGGCTTTAACAGTGCCCTGCCTCCCATACATGTGTATGGTGTCCCTGACCTGAAGATTCAAAGGCCTACCAGAGGCCCAGGTCACACTCCAGGCTACAGGACCCTAGGCCCTAGAGGGTATAGGGACTTCGCCAGAAGAAGGCAAATGAAAGTTAGACTAGTACGTGCTAGGATCTCGGAAGCTAGAGAGTGCGGGGTAAAGTCTTGAGGAGAGCCCAGTGAGAGTCAGAACATCCCCAGCAGGCCCTCGGGGAGCCGGCTCCTGCTTCGACCATGACCCCCGGAAGTAGCCTCGGCTGACAGGGGCAGAGGTCAGCACAGTCCTCCCACCACCGGGTGCACCAGCAGCAGCAGCAGGAGTGGGACAGAGGTTGGCTGGAGGCTTGATAGGTGCTAAGGGGGCCGCTTCCTCCTCATCCAGCTGACCTTGGACCACCCTACTATGTCTAGGAGGGAATTCAGGTAGCATGAGCCCACCAACCTCAAAGACACGCACCCCTCAAATCCGTCCCCCTGTCTTCATTACTTAGAAGATGATCGCAGAAACAAATCACTTCGACCACTTAGGAAGCGATCAAACCTTTATAAAAATCCATCGCTCCCAAATCGATGGGCGAATATTTGCTGGGAATTTGTTCCAGAGGAATAAATAAGAAGCATGAGTGTATTAAATGCAAACGGGGGGACACGGTAGTGTTTTTCTTCATTGATTAATGACCTCTAAAATAAAACAAGTGGGAAGAAGAGCCAGGATCAATAAATTAACTACCCAAATTCATCATTTTTCTCAAGCAATTTTTTTTTTCTCTAAAATTATCCTCAGGAAGCCCATTGTACCCTTAGCTCTTAAGGGAAGAGGAGAGCCAGAGGCCAGAGAGAACAAGGAGGGGCAGGAAGGGCAGGAGAGCAAGAAAAGGATTTTGTCTGGGAGACCCTCTATCTGATTTCGTTTGACATACAATTTAAAAGTTTGCCTTTCATATTAATTAATTTTTCCTGGTGGGGGAGGGGAACAAATGGTCGGTTGCATTTGACAGGACTCCGATAAAGGATTCAGCAGCTCTCCTCTCTGCCCTCGGCGCTCCTGCTTCTAGGTTTAAGGTCACGGGTGGCTGAGTTAATAATTCATTAATATAGACATTTATTCAGAAGGCCTCTCTAAGATCCACTCTCTCAGCCTCCTCCCAGAGATTTATTTTCTGGGGAAATGGATGGGGAGGAGGGCTGCAGGTGAAAGGAGGGGGGAGGAGAGAAAGGGAAATGGAAAGAAAGGCTGGATACAGCTAGGACAAACCTTCCTTAGTCAGGTGAGTGGACAAGTCCCTCTAACCTGCTTTCTCAAAAACTTCGTTAAAAAAATGTGGCATCCATACAACACAGGGTCTCTGGCCCCCAGTAGTCCTTTCTTCTACATCTGTTCCTTTACACTTGTGCAGAAAGCTCCTTGGCCCCATGCATTAGGAGCTGGGCAGAGCCATCTAACTGATGGACTTGATATGCAGGCAAATGGGGGGAAGGTGCAGGAAGGAAAACATCCTATCCCCCAAATCTTGAGCTTCCCAAAGGAGGAATCTAAAAAATCTCCTCTCCTCAGAGCTCTTCTGGTGCATATTCTATTCCTTCAGAAATGAGACTATGGGGGACTATAGGCACAGCATTAAGAGAAAACACGATGTTCAGATCCTCATGAAGTTTATATTCTATCAGGCAGGGACAAAGTGAACAATAAGTAACTATTCAATTAATTATCACATGATAATAGGTGCCATGGAGAGCAACTGAGAAAGGATAAAAGGAAAAAAGAGTGGATATAGGTGCAGGGTGTTACCATCTTAACTATGGTGATCAGGGAAGTCTTCTGTTATAAAATTTGAATATTGATTTCAAGCAAGAAGATGTCAGTTTTCTGCCCAAAGTGGGGTCCCTCCTATAGAACTCTCAGGGCCCTGGGTAAGGATTCTTCCCCTTGGACCCATGGTCACATTTAGTTCCTTTTGTGCATACCTATTTTCTCCTTCGTCCCTG